TTGTGCACACACAACGCGCCGTTTTCTCGGACGGGCGACCCCATGCTAGGTTAAATGTGTATCGCACAAATGTCAAAATGTGCGCGCGTACAATCCAAATTTACTGTACACAGAGAAAGCGTCGGCCGCCGCCCGACCGACGAGACTCGACATCTACATCCTACCGAGCATGGCTCTGAATGAGAAGTAGCAATAGAATAGCCATTTGGTCATTCATGGTTCTGACGGTGGCTGCTCGGTGAAAACACCATCATGATTGAGCTTAGCTCACAGCACACACTGTAGATAGAGCTCCGACGGCGTCATCGCCGGCGTCCGGTGCCGTGCTCGTCGTTAGGAACGACCCTGACACACCGTGCTCGTCGTTAGGAACGAGTTCAAAGCATGCGTACAGTAGGGGGACGCACATTATGTGCGCAAGCATTTCCGTGGTAAAACTCATTTTTTGTTCACAAAAAAGAAAAATATGACTCTGACACAAAAAATAATTTCCGGAGGCGCCCATTTATGTTTTTATGTGTTTTTGCGCATTATGGGGATACTCGCGGTCTGAGTGTATTTAGCCAGCAAATTTAGCCATACCGATAGGGGTGCGCTCTATGGAAAAGTGCTGGTACCGAGAGAGGGACACACAAAAAAAAATGGAAGGACAAGCGGACGGCAAACGCAAGCAAACAGTATGGTTGTGTTGATATGTGAGGTGGGTTTTGAATAAAAAAATCATGACTCAAGTTTCTGAGAAAGCATGAGAAAGTGAAACTCGGCAGTGTAGTTGAGTTGTACGATGTGGAAGGAAAGAGATTAATGAGAAGTATATGGTGTTCCCGGTGGTGTTTAGGAGTGTGTGGGATAGAAGGAATTCTGAGCAACGTTGAAGGGGTAGGGTATGTAAGACAAGTTGGAAAGCAAAGCGGCGGGGTTGTACCTAATGTGGACAACATTGGTGGTGTTTGAATGGGTTCAGAAATGGTGTGCAAATGAGTTTTGTAAAAAAAATGGTTGGGCTCAAATGAAAACAACGACGCCCTCATTTTTTAATAGTTAAAATATGTTGTGGTGATGTGCCTGTCAACAGGCAGTGGTCGGAGGCAGTGGTAGGAGGCAGTAGTGTAACATTTATGCGAGGCGTGGGCGAGTGTGGGGAGTGGTCGGGTAGAGAGCGGATACAGTAGTTGTTGACGAAACGGTGTAAATGAAGATGCAAGTTTGTGTTGTGTGAGATTGGGAGTTTGCAGTGTTTCAGGGGTAGGGACGTGGTTGGGCAAGAAAATGTGGGCATAGGTTGAGGATAGACGCGGTTTTTGGAAACGCGTGTTGTACAGTACGTGGGCACACGGGGGCGGGGTGCTGATGTCATGAATGGCAGGCGTAAAGTTTAGAGCGAGGCAAGGGCGGGTTGTGATCGACGTTGCGGTGCGATGTACAGTGGGGATGCATGCGTGCGGTAAGAAGCGGGGGGCCTGTTGGGGGGGGCGGTGGAGGGATGGTGTGTAATTGGATGACAGCTGGTGTTTTGGCGTCTGTGCGAAAAAAAGTTTAACGGTGAGCGTGTATAAAAAACGAAGATTGACACCCCAGATTCGCCCACCCCCGCCCGCCCCGCGTTCTCCCGCAGAATGATCGCCGCATTTGTCGTGACGCGCAGCCTCCACGGGGCGGGGGGGGGCGGTCCTTACGAGAGGGGGAGGCCTGCGCCGGGGCCGCCGGGCGTGCCCCGCGGAGATATTTTGCAGCGG